GTCCCACAAACACTACACTCCACTTTTATTTCATTCCATCAAGGCATATCATATTAAGTCATATTTTGGTGATTTGATTAAGGAACAAAGCTTGTAATTTCCCCCTTTCCCTTGTTATTTATTTCGGCCATAGGCCTCATTTGAAAACACATTGTATTCTTCATTTCAAGATAGAAATACACTGGTTGTATTCTGTTTTCAAATCCTAATTTCTATATCTTAAGGTTGGTTTCCTTAAGTGTGAGTGTTAGGTTCTAGTATTTCATTAAGTGTGTTATATCTTAATTGAAATCTAGAGTTCAACCCCAAGAAAGGATAAGAGTGTGTTATATCTCTTAGACCTCCTTGGTTTATCCCCGTTACTAAAACACTTCCTTTTTGTTCCTTGAAACTGCCCAATAATCGATTACCAGCTTGGAATAATCGATTATCCACTCACAAGAAACATCTGCAGTCACCAATAATCGATTTTCATATTTGTGTAAATCGACTATCAACCCCTTCAGAAACTCTCCACCAAATCCTTTGAGAAACTGAACCCTTCCATAATCGATTATCTCTTTAGGTAATCGACTATCACTCCTTCTCCATCTAAAACCACTGTTTTTCCTCAAACAACCTACGCCCAGATCCAACAATAAATTTTTCCCCTCATCTATATAGCTGGCAAGCTAGAGTATGAAAAGTGAAAACATCATTTATCTACCATGCTCGACAGCTACTAACACCACTTATTGCACAGAAACATGTCCCGATGTTAAAACATGGCTCTTGGAACAAGTGAGCAAAGCTGTGTATGCTTTGTTACTCAGAATTTAATGGGCACCACAATTCATTCGACATTGAACCTCATCCATGAATATGTGTGTCAATAGTACAATCACCAGAAAACATTATTCATGTTGATTGTGTTTACGAACCACAGATTAAGCTTCAAAAAACAGCGGATGTAAAATGGATATGGAAGCAGATAAAGCTACGTAATAAGTAATGATCAGATGCAAAGCTGTATATTCCCCAATAATTCGTGATTCAGAGTTGAACCGTGTCTCTTACAACAGAATCTTCAGCCAATTCAGTTCAACATCAACACTGGGCGGGTGAGGTATATCAATATTATCATTACAATATTATCGGGTAGTAAACTCAGGTTTTCATCAAAAATCTCGAAATCTAAGGCACATCATTCACTGATATTATACCACGAGTGTATCATCGGTGTAGTCCCCCATGAACTCCTGGAGCTTCCTCTTCACGTGCTCCTGAAGCATTGTCAATCCTTTGCAGCTGAAATTCAGCTTAAACGTCCGGTCATCTTCATTCCCCATTGCGAACCGAATCCTGGCCTAATTTTTCCTCATATTCTCGACGAACTCTTATCGAAGCAAGATCAACTGTTCCGCGCAACGAATGGTAGCCCTTCCAGAAAATCGTCCTGCTCTGGCAACTGCGGATGGAAAATTAGAGTGAAAGGCATTTGAGTGCGGTACACGGTATTTTTGGAGAGGTATATGGTACAGTACATACTCCCTCCGTCCTGGTTCTTCCCAGTTCCCACTTACTATTCATACAGTCAAACTTTAACCATTTTCTTTACCTATTTTCATTAGTTATTTGATAAAATAATATAGTTTTGTCACCACTTGTTTTGTAGAACTTTTGATTTAGTTTTTAAATATATAAATTTTATTTTTTAATTTTATACCTACAATCAAATAAATTGAATTAAAAATAAAGTCGGTCAAACTTCGTAAACAGAACCGGGAAGAACATTATAGGACGGAGGGAGTAACATACATTCTCAATAAAGAAGTACTTATTCTCGCATAAATATAAAATTTCATTTCGAAATACGTGATACTCATTTTGAAATAAGGTAGTACTCATTTTAAAATAAAGAAATACTCATTTTTACACATTTTTTTAATATAATTATAATAAGAGCCTGTTCTTTAGAACTGGAAAAAAAGAGCTGGATGTTGGAAAGAACTGGAAGAAACTGGAAAAACTGGAAGGGACTGGAAGAACTGGAAAAAACCAGAAAAAACTGGAAGAAACTGGAAAAAAATTAAAAGAATCTGAAAAAACTAGAAAAAAAATGGAAAATATAAAAAAAATTTAAAAAAAATTGTGTGTTTTTATATTTCTCATTCTAATTCTTGTTATTATAAATTATTATTATTATTATTGTTGTTGTTGTTGTTGTTGGTGGTGGTGGTGGTGGTGGTGGTGCCATCACGTTATCTTAATGAATGCCTTTAAGTTAAAACAATATTATTATATTTCATACATAAAAAAACTACTTTTGAAAAAAAATAGAATATAAAATTAGCACAAATATCAAAATGTTAAATACTTAAGAGTTATTATGGCTATGCTGTATTGATTATAAAATAATACATTTGCAATTATATTTTATATATTCCAAGATTTTGTTTTAAATATCAGACATGTCACATAATGTAATCAAACTTATTTTTTCTCAAATGATAGACATTTTATTTTCATTGTAACCCTACTTTTGGAATAAAGACATAGAACTTTTTTTACATTTTTTTATGTCTTACTCTTACTTTAGTCATTTTCTCTAAAGTATTTTGACTTTCAAATTTTTTTATATAAAATTTAGAAAAATGAAAAACAAATTTATTTTTGAAATAAATAAAAATGAAAAAGAATTGAGTAATAAAGACAAAGGCCATAGGTCTTTTTTGAAATAAATAAAAATTAAAAACTTGAAGAAAAAATAATAATGAATGTGAATCATAAAAATAGTAAGATGAAAAAATGAAATAATTTATAAACTATAGTTATGAACATAATAATAATAATAATAATAACAATAACAATAACAACAACAACAATAATAATATATTTTTTAGAGTGATTTGTCAGAAAATAAAAAGAATTTGAAGAAAATAAAAATAGTTGGAAGAAACTAGAAGGAACTGGAAAATCTGAAAGAAACTGGAAAGAACTGGAAGGAACTAGAAGTTAAGAGTTCAAGCTCTAAAGAACAGGCTCTAAATAGCGTAATGTTCATTCTTAAAAAAAGCAATACTCATTCTCAAATAAGGAAAGATTCATTCTCAAATAAAGTATTGTTCAATTCTTTCACAATTGAAAATTTCAGTGCCATCATTATCCTCAGGCATCTTCGTCGAATCTTCCTCGATTTCCCCAGATCCACAAGTTAGGTAGCCCAGTCGATCGGATCTCCCTCCCAAAAATTAGGCGGCGCGGATCGGATCTCTGCTCTCAATCATTGATCATCGTCATCATCTTCTTCCATGATCTACGTCGGCTCGGATCTCTGCTCCCAATCAGATCGGATCTACCTGCCATCGCAGCCTCCTCTTCTTCCTCTTCAATCGCCGGATGCCATGCTCCGACCCGTTCTCTTCCTTTTCCGGTTCTAATTTTTTCCGGCTGTACGGTTCTTCCCGTATCGCCAGGTGTAGGATATAATTTACGGTATTTTTGAGGGATGATAGGTGAGATCATACTTTTCTGAACCGGACTGATGACCGAACCGGTCAACATTATTCTCATTCTAATTCTTGTTGTTATAAATTAGTAATGTTATTGTTGTTGTTGTTGTTAGCGAGAAAAACCAAAATAGCACTCTTAGAACATTAAAATACTCTAAATAGCAGTGCTATATGTTTCGTACATGTGATTCTAATTTTGTCCTTTAATTAAACAATAAATGTTCATTATGCACTGCCAAAAATATGATTGTTTTGGACAGTGTAGTTGTTTACTTGTAACTATGTAGTGGGCTGTGTGGTTTTTATATGTCAGTATTTAATGTGGCAGTGTGGAATGAATATATGTTGTTATATCTTACGGCAATAAGTGTATTTTTGTGTTCCTTAATTTCATGCTGGAGTGCAATGTCCATTGACTTATGTAGCAGTGTTTTCATGTATAAATTCTACACCTTCAAAAAGTGTATGATTGTTTTCATGTTTGAATTCCACTGTGTCCAAAAAATGTATAGCTCTTTTTATGTATGAATTCCACACTATTTTCATATATGAATTCCACACTGCTAAAAATGTGTTTGATTATGTTCATGTATGAATTTCACACTGCCCAAAAATATATGACTAATTTCATTATTAATCAATTACACCAAAACACACTGGCCAAACATGGGCTTGGATTTTTCGGTCTTTCTTGATTTTGTATAATGTTAGAAGATGTTAGTATTAGATATATGTTGAATTTCATTGATGTGGTACTGAAAAGAAATGGATAATGGAAGGTATTATGATGTAAATTTTAAGATTTTGTAAGCAGCATACACTGCAACATTATATAGAATTGTGCAACATAGCACACTGGCCAAAACACAAGACATAACACAATGCCAAAAAGCATACCTACATCACAAGTATTCCACACTGCCAAAAATCTTTGAGCTTACACTTCATACTTTGTTTATTAAAGTTATTCAAGCACTAGTCATTTTGGTGATTTTTTTGTATACACTTCCAAAGGAACTTAATAAATAATTTATTACATTGGGATTTTTAGATATAAATCTCATTTGACCAAAACACACTAGGCAAACATGGTCATAAGACATTTCCAAAAAGTGTAGCTAGAAGTTGATTATTCCACACTGTCAAAAAAATAACAGCCCCATATTCAGTAACACATTTCCATAACGAACTCTTAAATGTTCAAACCCAATAGTCATATAACGAAGTACATGGCTTTTTTGCACAATATAAAACTCAATTCATAATTTAACATTGATAGTTTTATATGTATGTCTAATTTCACTTCCATATTATTAATGGTAGTTAATGAAGTACATACAAATTTGTTTAGGCCATGAACTTTTATACACTGCCATATTTACACTCTTGTCTACCACATTATATATAGAAGACAAATTCACGGCTAGAAAGTGTTTGCAGAACATGATCAATCCGTACTGCCCAAATATTTACACTCACTATATTGAGTAACACATTTCATAACAATCTCTTTCATGGAAAAACCCCATTGTCATAAAATCAACCACAAGCTTTTTGCACAATATTAAAGTCAAATACTCCCTCCGTTCTAAAATTACTTCTCATTTGACTTTTCACAGTCCAATGCGACGCTTTGACCATTAATATCTCAAATTTTATATAAATATATTTTATAAAAATTATATATTTCAAAACTATGTTAAGAAATTAATCTATTGCTAATAAATTTATATGAAAATTCAATGTATTCTTTTCGTAATAAACGGTCAAAGTTTAAAAAGTTTGACTGCAAAAGTCAAACTGGGAAGTTAATTTTAGGACGGAGGGAGTAATAATTTATAACATTGGTAGTTTTATATGTAAGTCTCATTGTCACCACTTGTTTATAGAATTTTTTATGTAGTTTTTTAATATATAATTCCAATTTTTTAATTATACACCAATTTTTCCTTATATTGATTTGAAAATAATTTCAATCAAACATCGTAAATCGAATAAGACCCTATTTTGGGATGAAGGAAGTATTTATAATTGGCATATTTTTATGATATAATTTTGATATATCGTATTTTTGTTATATATATTTATTCAAAACTACATTTAATTTATTGAAGAAAGAATTTTATAAAAAAAGAGTACAATGCCACTATGCACAAAGTATACATTAATTATGTGAGTCCGAATTTGATATAGAAGTTGAAAGAGGAATTGAAACAATTGATGGTGGATAGATAAAAAGGTTTGACAACATAAAGGGTATGATTGGAAGAGATTGACAACATAAATAGCTAATTTGGTAAAAAACAATAAACAGTGCTAAATGCGTAGTATTAGATGAGTTAGAGTGCTACGCCGGGTGATTTCTTTTGTTGTTATTGTTATCACGTTATCTTAATTAATACTTTTAAGATAAAAAAATATTGTTATTTTTCATACAAAAAACTACTTTTGCAAAAAAGTTAATTAGAATATAAAATTAGCATAAATATCAAAATGTTAAATATTTATGCAATATTTATCATAAAATAATATATTTGTAATTGTACTTTATATATTACAAGATTTTGTTTTAAGTATCAGAAATGTCACTTAATGTAATCAAATCTATTTTTTCTTTAATGATTTATTTTTTTCATTATAACCCTACATTTGAAAAAAAAGACATAGAACTGTTTTTTCATTTTTTATGTTTTACTTCTACCGAGACAGCGAACAACGGAAGATAGGCCCAAGATGATGTTTTTTGATGAACAAACTAAAGATGCAATGAAGTAGTTAAGAGATAAAATGACAGTTAATATTCTACAATACAGTTAAGCTTAACTTATCTGAATTTGATTGTTTTTTACACTTTTTGGGTAGTTTTTTTTCTTTTTCAACATGTAGTTCTATCTTCGTTTTCATTATGTAGTACTCCCCACTCCATTCTATTATTATATTTTAGATTAAAATATTGAGGTTTTCCTTATATAAATTTAGATTAAAAACATTTTATGCAACTATTTTATCTATAGTTTTTTTAAATAGTTTAAAATATTGATGTTTTCCTATTTTATCTTGTAGATTAATATACAAAAATGGTATTATTGATATTAAAAAGTTGAAAAAAAAATCAATGTGTATCATAAAAATAGTGAGATGAAAAAATGAAATAATTTATAAACTATAGTTATTAACATAATAGGTGTAATAATAATAATAATAATAATAATAATAATAATAATAATAATAATAATAATAATAATAATATCGTTTTTAGAATAATTGATCGGGAAGTAAAGAGAGTTTGAAGAAAATAAAAATAGTTGGAAGAAACTGGAAAGAACTGGAAAAAACTGGAAGGAACTGGATGAATTGTAAGAAGCTGGAAAAAACTAGAAGAAACTGGAAAGAACTGGAAGAAACTGGAAAGAACTCAAAGAAACTGGAACGAACTGGAAGGAACTTGAAGAAACTCGAAGTTAATAATTCAAGCCCTAAAGAATAGGCTCTAAGGGCATGTTCTTTAGGACTTGAACTCTTAACTTCCAATTCTTTCCAGTTCTTTCCAGTTTCTTCTAGTTTATTTCAGTTCTTCCAGTTTTTTCCAGTTCCTTCCAGTTTCTTCCAGTTTCTTCCATTTTTTTCCAGTTTCTTATAATTTCTTCCAACTATATTTATTTTCTTCAAATTCTTTCTACTTTCTGACAAATCACTCTAAAAAAATATATTATTATTATTATTACAACTTTTATGTTCATAACTATAGTTTATAAATTATTTCATTTTTTGATCTCACTATTTTTATGATTCACATTCATTATTATTTTTCCTTCAACTTTTTAATATGAATAATACCGTTTTTTGTATATTAATCTACATGAAAAATTAGGAAACTATTTTAAAAATTATGGTTAAATAGTTATATAGAATATTTTTTAATCTAAATTTTTATATGGTAAACATCAATATTTTAATCTACATTAGTTTCATTTTTTTAATCTACATTAGTTTCATTAGTTTCATAGAATGTGGTGGGGAGTACTACATTATGAAAACCAAGAGAAAACTACATTTTGAAAAAGAAAAAAAAGACCCAAGAAGTGTAAAATGGAAATTCAACTAACAAATAACATCACCAATAATTAAAATACAACTAACAAAAAAAGTTATAGTTTAATTTATTTGATTTACTTTTTAGTGTCTCTAATATGTAAAATAGTGTGCATATAAATATAAATAATCTAATCATTCTCAACATAATCATATTGTAAAAACTATAGTTCGTATATAGTACCTTCAATTAAGTTTAACTACATTGTAGGATATTAAGTGCTAGATCATCTCTAAACTGCTTCATTGCATCTTTAGTTTGTTTATCAAACAACATCACCTTGGGCCTATCTTGAGTTGTTTGCTGCCTCAGTGAAATTGGTATTCCTTTTCGATGAAGACGAATGAAATTGTGCAAAGTGCATGTTGCAATAACAATTTGAATTTGGTGCTCTTGTTTCATTTGAGGCATCCTGTTGTGCAATATTTTCCATGTGTTCTTCAAAGTTCCAAATGTTCGCTTTGTAGTTGTTCTCAAAGAAGAGTGGCAATAGTTAAATAATAGGTTTGATTACATTATGTGACATGTGAGATACTTAAAACAAAATCTTGTAATATATAAAATATAATTACAAATATATTATTTTATAATAAATACAACATAGCCATAATAACTCTTAA